TGGTAGGGAGGCTGTGGTGGGAGGCAATGGATATTTAATTGATGGGAGTTTAACATAAAAAAAAGCCAGCACAAACCCTCAGACTGAACCTGACCCCTGCCTTAGCCAGATGGCCAGCACCAGTGGTATCTCATCCCAAGTGCAACTGTAACTAATCCCACCTAATAGTTTAAGTAGAAACAAGTAAAACATGGCAAGGACTCCCACAACTGCAATAGGGTCTCCAATAATTTTCATCTTTAATATAGAGGGGCAGTTGGCAGAGATGACACATTTCTAAAAAGCAATGTTCTGTCTTATTTGCTATATTAAAGATGAAGGCAGCTGCAGTATGTCCATTTCCAGATGCAGCGTATAGATTAAATACAATTATAAAAAGCTTTATCAAATCGCAGAAAAATAATATTGGCAATTAATGAACCCCATAAAAATGCCAACACTGTTCTGGAGTCAGTCCCACCCATGGAAAACTTTTCTCAAATAAAATAAAATAACCCAGATTTAGCAATTCTTATCTAGTGTTTCTCTTGGCCTCAAATTGCTTCCACTGACCTATTGTTTCAGGTTAGCTTTTGGATGACACGCTAATCTTCAGCAGCCTTCAGCTATATTAATCAGTGTCCAAATCTAGGGCAAGGGAAAAAATTAAGTGCTAGCGTTTCATTTGTTTTGCGCTCTAGAAATTATGAGTGGATACCTACAGCAGAGTGTGTTTTTTCGCGTTTTTTGTTGTTGTTTTTTTTTTACCCATGATGCTTTCAAGACAAGGAATTGGCTGGCCTGGATAAATGTCATCTAAGCTGCAGTACAATGGGCGCCGTTCTCTTTCATCAACAGACTTGTTACACCACTGTCAGTCAGGGTGGGTTCAGGACACAGAAGATCAGTGGGGATTAGGATGTTAATGAAAAAAAATTACAAAGTGGAACCAGTCTTGCATATGTGCTCAGAGTTCCTGGCTGGGCACGCTTTAAAATAAATCAAAGTAAATGCACTATAAATAAAAGATGTGCCAAACACAGCTGTAGAGCACAAAGCTAATAAAATACTCTCTCCCTAGCCAGAGCTAGCTTAAGAAAAAACAAAACAAAACAAACATCAACCATCTACACATATTAGAAAACTGTGACCCTGAAAGATTATTTTGTAGTAATATAACGTCTTTGCCAATTCAGTTCTTTTTCCACATATAGCTTTCTCCATTGGCTTTACAAAGCACATCTAACCTCAGTTTTCAGGCACAGTGATATCTGACAGCCTTAAGCTCTTTCTTTGGATGTAGGAAAATAGCAGTTGGAGTTTTAGTTCACATCTACACAAGATGCTAACTGTGCAGTAGCTGATAATACTGTGCAGTAGCATGTCACAACACCAGCTGTGCTAATATGCTACTGCGCAGTAGCGTCACTAAAAAGGCATTCACCGATGCTACTGCACAGTAACTCTGGTTACTGTGCATTTATTTAGTACTTGATTATACAAGTACTAACTAAATGCTCAGTAACCACTGTGCAGTAGCGTCTCACGTAGATGCACCCACTAAATTTTGGCTCTCGGGCGGCTTTGAAAGATGACCCAAAATGTTGTGTATGAAAACATGGAAGTGGCTTAAGCAGAGAGAACAGAACAGAATTCACTAGAACAGCCCATATCTGCATGTGTACCAAAGTCTTTTTTACCTTTTCATTTTTAAGGTCTCCGGTACAGACTATTTTGTCACTTCCCCCCAAGTGATTGTCCATGGTCACATAAGCAAGTCCAGAGCAGAAACACTAAAACAGACTCTAGGTCTCCTGACTACCAGGGCTCATCCTCCCTCCTGGACCACGTACTAATCATGATCATGAAGTGAGATCAAAGCACACAAAACCCTACGCAGATGTATGGTAGTTGCGGGATCAAGACCTCAGATGTCCAAGATTCTTTTAAAGGCTTAACGTATTTCTTTAAGGATATAATGTGCATTTGTTTGCTTTAGGATTGGGGTGGGGAAATGTATTTCTGCGATGAAAGTGGCTAGCCTTTATTTTACTGCTGTATTTGAATCCAACACAGACGTGAGTTTTCCATTTGAAAATAACAACAAACATGTTCCTCCCGTGTGGACAATCAGAAATGCCTTACCTAGGGTTTATTGTGAACAGATAGCTCGCAGGGAGGACTGCAGTTACAGCCATGCCTAAAGCAAACAGGCAGAAAATTAACGTTTTAAAACTGTCCCATGCATGTATCTCAAAACCTGTCACAGTGAGAGTTTGCTCTTCCAGGAAGATGCATTGGGATTTTGGGGTGTCTTTTTTGCATTATATTTTTTAAACATCCCTTTCCTTCCTCCCCCGCAAATAAGTAAGCGAGGTGTGATATACATGAGAACTACTACGAAGGGGAAATTCACCCCTTCCTAGATAGCCCTGCACGAGGCAGATGGACCACTCAAGCCTCCAAAATTACCCTCTTGAGGCTGCAATCCTGCGGGTTCCTGCTCACTAGGTTCCACGCAAAGCGCAGCGATCAATCCGCACGGGCCCACTTGCGGGATCGGGGTCTCAGTGCATCTCTTTCAGGCAAACAAGGTCCTTTGGGTGGATCTGATCTCTTTTATTAGAGCAACTTAAAGAGTTGGGAACAATGTTTTAGGAAGCAAAAGCTTGCTCAATTTTTCCCCCCCAACTCTTTAAGTTGGTTTAATAAAAGAGATCAGATCCACCCATTTCGCTTGCTCAAATTTTTTTTTCAGCTCTTGAAGTTGGTCTAATAAAAGAGATCAGATTCACCCAAAGAACCTGGTCTGCCCATGTCCTCAGACCAACTCGGCTACCATCTCTACACCCCTGTATCTTCCGGTTATTTTCCTTCCTCCGCTTGTCTTCGCAAGCCAGCCGCCAACCGAACCGAAGACCAACGTTAATGCAATCGGACGTCGAAATATAACACGGACGAGGAATACAAAATCCAATCCCCTGCTGAGTCGGGGGCACGCTGGATCTTCGGTGAGAACTGACTGTTTCGGTGACGTTCCCAAGCCCGTAAGCACGTGCGAGGGAGGGACAAGGCGGCATTTTCAGGCCCGCGCACCGAGGCACCGTTGTGCAACCGTGCCCGCTGTCACGCCAGCTGGACGGACGCCGCTGGACGGACACGAGGACCGGGCCCCCGAACGGGGCCGACGGGCAACCGGGCGAGCGCCACGCTTCTTGCTGCGCGTCCGTCTCCGCCGCTCCACGTTGATTCTCGGCGGTCTCGCAGCATCGGTCAGGGCGGAGCCGCTCGCCGAGGGCCGGGTCGAGGTGGATTTTGGATCCGCCGATTTAAAAAGGCCCAAAACAGCTTTCCGTCTCTTTCGAAAGGGTCTTTTCAGTTGGAAAGAAACCGGGGATGTCAAGTGGCTGCGATGGACCCTCCTATTCGGGGCAACTGGTTTCACACCAGCCCCACGAGGTGGAGAGCCCCTTGCAGTGGGGCAGGGCAGCCCCGGGGGGGGAGGGGCACGCGTTGGAGTGGGACAAAGGGGCCGCCTCAGAGCCCCTCCCCCACATGCAACACCCCGCCTGCGCATGCGCACACCCCGGCCCC